AAATGGAAGATTATTAGGCGTAATAACTTTAGACATTCCAATATTTGTTAGTTTTGGAATTGTATAATGCATTAATATATTGTTCGGATGCTAAAATAATAATGATGTTGTTATACAATAGTTGTAATGGTTTATGCTTATGTGATTTATATTAATTATAATAAATTATTATATAGACATTACCAGCTCGGAGTGAATAACTTTAATATCATGAAGAAATCTCAATCCACTAACTATCTGACGTGTTAATTCTAACTTTTTAACCCATGAGATCGGAGAATGACTTTTAATATAATCACGGAAGTCACCATTAGCATATTCTCGAACAATATAAAATTTCTCATTTTCTTTTATGCAATTTAAATTTGAGTTATTCATAATAGATTTTTAAGTAAGTTTATAACATATTCACTGGTTTGATTTTTTATAATAAATATGTAATATTTTGAATTATTTTGGTAATAATAACTTTTGATATATTGATCTGTTTTAGATAATTTTATTACCAAAATGTTCATAAAACAAGCCCAAATTTATCCACATCTATTCACAGGAATTTGGGATACTCACGTGTTAAATAGCGACGCACCTCCCAAAGTGGAACGTTCGTTCCACAGTAGGACAACGATCCTGTGATTAGATTTAGATGATTTTGGGCTTGTTGGAATCGTATCATTATGACGAACATTTTGGCAATAAAAATATTTAAAATGGACCGATAGATTAAAATTTATTATTATAAAATATTATATATTTATTATAAAACATTAAATGGTATCATGATTCACCTACCATATGTCAACCCAAAAACTTGAAGTATGTTTGCATGGTCAAAATTTTTGAGCTATTATTATAAAAAGGTCGATTAATTAGTTTTTTTTTTTCGTAAAACAATAATCCATTCTTTAAAAGTTTTTACTAAGACTACTGTGCAGATAAAATTCTTTTATATAATTCTACTAACATATGACAACGAAATATAATGAATATGATGTCAAATACGTATATTTATTTCTTTAAAATGCAATATCTCATGAATATGTTTTGACTATCTTTCTTTATTAGTTCTGTAGAGTTATACATAAAATGCAGCAGTCTCTTTTTGACGTATTTAGCAGTAAAGGTAGTATTTATTATCTATTGCTATTCCTTTAAGTTTATATTTTAGGTTTGCTTAGGTTTCGAAAAATAAGCCACATTCTTAATAATATCGAAACGTATTACGTATATAAAAGCTATTTATTACACACGAACGTACCTCAT